CCAATCAGATTGCGTGTTGTAGTACTGGTGGGCCTGTCCAGGGCCGCAGTTCGGGCCTGAGCACTCCACATGGCAACTGGGGGCATACATGCGGTTGTTCCAGTCCGTGCCGCAGTCGCTGCACTCCCCGGCCGGCCACCAGCAGCAGAAACTGCTGCAGTCCGACGCAGACGCGAGCGAGGTGCTGTTTGCTGCGTAGCCGCGGAGCTGCCGAGCGGACGGCCCCATGTCCGCCGACGCCACTGCAGCGAAGCCGATCACCTGCATCGCACGCGCCATGCTGTCACAGCGGGTCTCTGGCAAGCTGCGCACAAACGGGGCGCGAGTAGAGAACTGTAACCTGGAGCCTTGAGCCTACAGCCGAAACGGATCGATATGAGCGCGTCGGTTGGGCGAATCAAGGTGCCAGGGGATCGAACACGCCGCAGATACATTATCAGCGGAGCAGAAGACAGTACGTGATGTGATGACAACCAGCTCGGTTTTGCTACAGCCTCCTCAGAGTGAAAAGCCGATTTCTGCAAGTATGGCCTTCTGCTCAGGGGCCCAACTCTTCTTCCCATCCGAATTTTTTGCTCTGGCGAGGGCTTCGATTCGAGCCGTAGCTGGAGATCCGCATGATCCGCGTGAGTGGTGTGCCGAAGTGGGCGGGGTCCCGCATGTGGACGCGCCCACTGGGGCCGCTGGTGGAGCTCCCTGTGGGGCACGATCCGCGTGAGGCATGTGCCGAAGTGGGTCGGGGGCGGCATGCGACGGCGCCCACTGGGGCCGCAGGTGGAGCTCCTTGTGGGGCACGATACGCGTGAGGCGTGTGCCGAAATGAGCGGGGGGCGGCGTGCGACGGCGCCCACTGGGGCCGCAAGTGGAGCTTGCTCTGCAATGCTAACACAACGCCATGCTATGCAATCCTATGAAATGCGACGGAATGCTACAAAACATTATGCAACGCTATGCAATGCTGCGGCTTTCCATGCAATTCAAATGATATGTAATGCTACGCATGCTCTGCAATGCTACGCAATACTATGCGACGCACTGCTGCATGACGCAGTGGCGTACCATGGACTGCTTGGGCATATGACGAAACGTCGCAGATACTGGCAAGCCTAGCGGTACGATATCAGAGTGTTAGTACGATTGCGATTTCGCATGATCCTGCCGATGTTTCCTGTGGATGTCTGAACACCGAGCTGTGGGGGGCCCGTGCAGAATCTACCCGACATGCATTCTGTACGCGGCTGGGCGCTGTTGGCCACCGCTGTTGGCCCTGACCTTCGCGGGCACGAGACCTCGCCAGAGGAGCGCGGGGCAAAAGTATTCGCTGCGCAGGGTTAGCAATTGCCGCTGGCCTGCACTCCCCCATCAGGCCTCATGGGCCCAACGCTATCCTTCAGGTAGCATTCACCGTTGTTGGTCACAGTCCAGCCCTTGCATTGGCCCCCGGAAGCCTGGCACCTCACCTTGCAGAACTCTGCGTTCTGCACTTGGATCGGGCCCTCGTAGTTGTGCCCATCGTTGTTCTGCTGGTTCTGCTGGTCCCCGCAGCTGGGGTAGCAGTAGCCGCTGCCCTGAACGCCCGCATCGCTCTGCATGTCCCCGACGCTTGTCTTCAGGTAGCACTCGTTGTTGTTGGTCACGGTCCAACCCGTGCACTTGTTGCTCCCGCTCATACCGCACAATCGCTTGCAAGTCTCAGTGTCGGTGTTGACGATCGGGCCCTCGTAGTTGCTGCCCCAGTTGTTGTTCCCATTCCAGGTGCCCCCGCAGTAGTACGAAGGTCCAGAGCTGAGGCCTCCCTGCTCACTGCCGCACACCCGAGTGGAGCAACTGCTGTCCCAATCAGATTGCGTGTTGTAGTACTGGTGGGCCTTTCCAGGGCCGCAGTTCGGGCCTGAGCACTCCACGTGGCAACCGGGGGCATACATGCGGTTGTTCCAGTCCGTGCCGCAGTCGCTGCACTCCCCAGCCGGCCTCCAGCAGCAGAAACTGCTGCAGTCTGACGCAGACGCGAGCGAGGTGCTGTTTGCTGCGTAGCCGCGGAGCTGCCGAGCGGACGGCCCCATGTCCGCCGACGCCACTGCAGCGAAGCCGATCACCTGCATCGCACGCGCCATGCTGTCACAGCGGGTCTCTGGCAAGCTGAGCACAAACGGGGCGCGAGTAGAGAACTGTAACCTGGAGCCTTGAGCCTACAGCCGAAACGGATCGATATGAGCGCGTCGGTTGGGCGAATCAAGGTGCCAGGTGATTGAACACGCCGCAGATGCATTATCAGCGGAGCAGAAGACAGTACGTGATGTGATGACAACCAGCTCGGTTTTGCTGCAGCCTCCTCCAAGTGAAAAGCCGATTTCTGCAAGTATGGCCTTCTGCTCAGGGACCCACCTCTTCCTCCCATCCGAATTTGTTGCTCTGGCGAGGGTTTCGATTCGAGCCGTAGCTGGAGATCCGCATGATTCGCGTGAGTGGTGTGCCGAAGTGGGCGGGGCCCCGCATGTGGACGCGCCCACTGGGGCCGCTGGTGGAGCTCCCTGTGGGGCACGATCCGCGTGAGGCATGTGCCGAAGTGGGTCGGGGGCGGCATGCGACGGCACCCACTGGGGCCGCAGGTGGAGCTCCTTGTGGGGCACGATACGCGTGAGGCGTGTACTGAAATGAGCGGGGGGCGGCGTGCGACGGCGCCCATTGGGGCCGCAAGTGGAGCTTGCTCTGCAATGCTAACACAACGCCATGCTATGCAATCCTATGAAATGCTACGGAATGCTACATAATATTATGCAACGCTATGCAATGCTGCGGCTTTCCATGCAATTCAAATGATATGTAATGCTACGCATGCTCTGCAATGCTACGCAATACTATGCGACGCACTGCTGCATGACGCAGTGGCGTACCATGGACTGCTTGGGCATATGACGAAACGTCGCAGATACTGGCAAGCCTAGCGGTACGGTATCAGAGTGTTAGTACGATTGTGATTTCGCATGATCCTGCCGATGTTTCCTGTGGATGTCTGAACACCGAGCTGTGGGGGGCCCGTGCAGAATCTACCCGCATGCATTCTGTACGCGGCTGGGCGCTGTTGGCCACCGCTGTTGGCCCTGACCTTCGCGGGCACGAGACCTCGCCAGAGGAGCGCGGGGCAAAAGCATTCGCTGCGCAGGGCTAGCAATTGCCGCTGGCCTGCACTCCCCCATCAGGCCTCATGGGCCCAACGCTATCCTTCAGGTAGCATTCACCGTTGTTGGTCACAGTCCAGCCCTTGCATTGGCCCCCGGAAGCCTGGCACCTCACCTTGCAGAACTCTGCGTTCTGCACTTGGATCGGGCCCTCGTAGTTGTGCCCATCGTTGTTCTGCTGGTTCTGCTGGTCCCCGCAGCTGGGGTAGCAGTAGCCGCTGCCCTGAACGCCCGCATCGCTCTGCATGTCCCCGACGCTTGTCTTCAGGTAGCACTCGTTGTTGTTGGTCACGGTCCAACCCGTGCACTTGTTGCTCCCGCTCATACCGCACAATCGCTTGCAAGTCTCAGTGTCGGTGTTCACGATCGGGCCCTCGTAGTTGCTGCCCCAGTTGTTGTTCCCATTCCAGGTGCCCCCGCAATAGTACGAAGGTCCAGAGCTGAGGCCTCCCTGCTCACTGCCGCACACCCGAGTGGAGCAACTGCTGTCCCAATCAAATTGCGTGTTGTAGTACTGGTGGGCCTTTCCAGGGCCGCAGTTCGGGCCTGAGCACTCCACGTGGCAACCGGGGGCATACATGCGGTTGTTCCAGTCCGTGCCGCAGTCGCTGCACTCCCCAGCCGGCCTCCAGCAGCAGAAACTGCTGCAGTCTGACGCAGACGCGAGCGAGGTGCTGTTTGCTGCGTAGCCGCGGAGCTGCCGAGCGGACGGCCCCATGTCCGCCGACGCCACTGCAGCGAAGCCGATCACCTGCATCGCACGCGCCATGCTGTCACAGCGGGTCTCTGGCAAGCTGAGCACAAACGGGGCGCGAGTAGAGAACTGTAACCTGGAGCCTTGAGCCTACAGCCGAAACGGATCGATATGAGCGCGTCGGTTGGGCGAATCAAGGTGCCAGGTGATTGAACACGCCGCAGATGCATTATCAGCGGAGCAGAAGACAGTACGTGATGTGATGACAACCAGCTCGGTTTTGCTGCAGCCTCCTCCAAGTGAAAAGCCGATTTCTGCAAGTATGGCCTTCTGCTCAGGGACCCACCTCTTCCTCCCATCCGAATTTGTTGCTCTGGCGAGGGTTTCGATTCGAGCCGTAGCTGGAGATCCGCATGATTCGCGTGAGTGGTGTGCCGAAGTGGGCGGGGCCCCGCATGTGGACGCGCCCACTGGGGCCGCTGGTGGAGCTCCCTGTGGGGCACGATCCGCGTGAGGCATGTGCCGAAGTGGGCCGGGGGCGGCATGCGACGGCGCCCACTGGGGCCGCAGGTGGAGCTCCTTGTGGGGCACGATACGCGTGAGGCGTGTGCTGAAATGAGCGGGGGGCGGTGTGCGACGGCGCCCACTGGGGCCGCAAGTGGAGTTTGCTCTGCAATGCTAACCCAACGCCATGATATGCAATCCTATAAAATGCTACGGAATGCTACAGAATAGTATGCAACGCTATGCAATGCTGCGGCTTTCCATGCAATTCAAATGATATGTAATGCTACGCATGCTCTGCAATGCTACGCAACACTTTGCTACGCACTGCTGCATGACGCAGTGGCGTACCATGGACTGCTTGGGCATATGACGAAACGTCGCAGATACTGGCAAGCCTAGCGGTACGGTATCAGGGTATTAGTACGATTGCGACTTCGCATGATCCTGCCGATGTTTCCTGTGGATGTCTGAACACCGAGCTGCGGGGGGCCCGTGCAGAATCTACCCGACATGCATTCTGTACGCGGCTGGGCGCTGTTGGCCACCGCTGTTGGCCCTGACCTTCGCGGGCACGAGACCTCGCCAGAGGAGCGCGGCGCAAAAGCATTCGCTGCGCAGGGCTAGCAATTGCCGCTGGCCTGCACTCCCCCATCAGGCCTCATGGGCCCAACGCTATCCTTCAGGTAGCATTCACCGTTGTTGGTCACAGTCCAGCCCTTGCATTGGCCCCCAGAAGCCTGGCACCTCACCTTGCAGAACTCTGCGTTCTGCACCTGGATCGGGCCCTCGTAATTGTGCCCATCGTTGTTCTGCTGGTTCTGCTGGTCCCCGCAGCTGGGGTAGCAGTAGCCGCTGCCCTGAACGCCCGCATCGCTCTGCATGTCCCCGACGCTCGTCTTCAAGTAACACTCATTGTTGTTGGTCACGGTCCAACCCGTGCACTTGTTGCTCCCGCTCATACCGCACAATCGCTTGCAAGCCTCAGTGTCGGTGTTCACGATCGGGCCCTCGTAGTTGCTGCCCCAGTTGTTGTTCCCATTCCAGGTGCCCCCGCAATAGTACGAAGGTCCAGAGCTGAGGCCTCCCTGCTCACTGCCGCACACCCGAGTGGAGCAACTGCTGTCCCAATCAGATTGCGTGTTGTAGTACTGGTGGGCCTTTCCAGGGCCGCAGTTCGGGCCTGAGCACTCCACGTGGCAACCGGGGCATACATGCGGTTGTTCCAGTCCGTGCCGCAGTCGCTGCACTCCCCAGCCGGCCACCAGCAGCAGAAACTGATGCAGTCTGACGCAGACGCGAGCGAGGTGCTGTTTGCTGCGTAGCCGCGGAGCTGCCGAGCGGACGGCCCCATGTCCGCCGACGCCACTGCAGCGAAGCCGATCACCTGCATCGCACGCGCCATGCTGTCACAGCGGGCCTCTGGCAAGCTGAGCACAAACGGGGCGCGAGTAGAGAACTGTAACCTGGAGCCTTGAGCCTACAGCCGAAACGGATCGATATGAGCGCGTCGGTTGGGCGAATCAAGGTGCCAGGTGATCGAACACGCTGCAGATACATTATCAGCGGAGCAGAAGACAGTACGTGATGTGATGACAACCAGCTCGGTTTTGCTACAGCCTCCTCCAAGTGAAAAGCCGATTTCTGCAAGTATGGCCTTCTGCTCAGGGGCCCACCTCTTCCTTCCATCCGAATTGTTTGCTCAGGCGAGGGCTTCGATTCGAGCCGTAGCTGGAGATCCGCATGATTCGCGTGAGTGGTGTGCCGAAGTGGGCGGGGTCCCGCATGTGGACGCACCCACTGGGGCCGCTGGTGGAGCTCCCTGTGGGGCACGATCCGCGTGAGGCATGTGCCGAAGTGGGTCGGGGGCGGCATGCGACGGCGCCCACTGGGGCCGCAGGTGGAGCTCCTTGTGGGGCACGATACGCGTGAGGCGTGTGCTGAAATGAGCGGGGGGCGGCGTGCGACGGCGCCCACTGGGGCCGCAAGTGGAGCTTGCTCTGCAATGCTAAAACAACGCCATGCTATGCAATCCTATGAAATGCTACGGGATGCTACAGAATAGTATGCAACGCTATGCAATGCTGCGGCTTTCCATGCAATTCAAATGATATGTAATGCTACGCATGCTCTGCAATGCTACGCAATACTATGCGACGCACTGCTGCATGACGCAGTGGCGCACCATAGACTGCTTGGGCATACGACAAAACGTCGCAGATACTGGCAAGCCTAGCGGTACGGTATTAGAGTGTTAGTACGATTGCGATTTCGCATGATCCTGCCGATGTTTCCTGTGGATGTCTGAACACCGAGCTGCGGGGGGCCCGTGCAGAATCTTCCCGACATGCATTCTGTACGCGGCTGGGCGCTGTTGGCCACTGCTGTTGGCCCTGACCTACGAGACCTCGCCAGAGGAGCGCAGGGCAAAAGCATTCGTTGCGCAGGGCTAGCAATTGCCGCTGGCCTGCACTCCCCCATCAGGCCTCATGGGCCCAACGCTATCCTTCAGGTAGCATTCACCGTTGTTGGTCACAGTCCAGCCCTTGCATTGGCCCCCGGAAGCCTGGCACCTCACCTTGCAGAACTCTGCGTTCTGCACTTGGATCGGGCCCTCGTAGTTGTGCCCATCGTTGTTCTGCTGGTTCTGCTGGTCCCCGCAGCTGGGGTAGCAGTAGCCGCTGCCCTGAACGCCCGCATCGCTCTGCATGTCCCCGACGCTTGTCTTCATGTAACACTCGTTGTTGTTGGTCACGGTCCAACCCGTGCACTTGTTGCTCCCGCTCATACCGCACAATCGCTGGCAAGTCTCAGTGTCGGTGTTGACGATCGGGCCCTCGTAGTTGCTGCCCCAGTTGTTGTTCCCATTCCAGGTGCCCCCGCAATAGTACGAAGGTCCAGAGCTGAGGCCTCCCTGCTCACTGCCGCACACCCGAGTGGAGCAACTGCTGTCCCAATCAGATTGCGTGTTGTAGTACTGGAGGGAGCTTTCCCAGGCCGCGTTCGGGCCTGAGCAAACATCCCGTGGCAACCGGGGGCTACATGCGGTTGGTTCCTTCCGTGCCGCAAGGTCGCTGCACTCCCCCGCCGGCTCACCAGCAGCAGAAACTGCTGCAGTCTGACGCAGACGCGAGCGAGGTGCTGTTTGCCGCGTAGCCTCGGAGCTGCCGAGCGGACGGCCCATGTCCGCCGACGCCACTGCAGCGAAGCCGATCACCTGCATCGCACGCGCCATGCTGTCACAGCGGGTTCTCTGGCACTGAGCACAAACGTGGCGCGAGTAGAGAACTGTAACCTGGAGCCTTTGAGACTCCGCCCGAAACGGATCGATATGAGCGCGTCGGTTGGGCGTATCAAGGTGCCAGGTGATTGAACACGCCGCAGATACATTATCAGCGGAGCAGAAGACAGTACGTGATGTGATGACAACCAGCTCGGTTTTGCTACAGCCTCCTCCAAGTGAAAAGCCGATTTCTGCAAGTATGGCCTTCTGCTCAGGGGCCCACCTCTTCCTCCCATCCGAATGTTTTGCTCTGGCGAGGGCTTCGATTCGAGCCGTAGCTGGAGATCCGCATGATCCGCGTGAGTGGTGTGCCGAAGTGGGCGGGGTCCCGCATGTGGACGCGCCCACTGGGGCCGCTGGTGGAGCTCCCTGTGGGGCACGATCCGCGTGAGGCATGTGCCGAAGTGGGTCGGGGGCGGCATGCGACGGCGCCCACTGGGGCCGCAGGTGGAGCTCCTTGTGGGGCACGATACGCGTGAGGCGTGTGCTGAAATGCGCGGGGGGCGGCGTGCGACGGCGCCCACTGGGGCCGCAAGCGGAGCTTGCTCTGCAATGCTAACACAACGCCATGCTATGCAATCCTATGAAATGCTACGGAATGCTACAGAATAGTATGCAATGCTATGCAATGCTGCGGCTTTCCATGCAATTCAAATGATATGGAATGCTACGCATGCTCTGCAATGCTACGCAATACTATGTGACGCACTGCTGCATGACGCAGTGGCGTACCATGGACTGCTTGGGCATATGACGAAACGTCGCAGATACTGGCAAGCCTAGCGGTACGGTATCAGAGTGTTAGTACGATTGCGATTTCGCATGATCCTGCCGATGTTTCCTGCTGATGTCTGAACACCGAGCTGTGGGGGGCCCGTGCAGAATCTACCCGACATGCATTCTGTACGCGGCTGGGCGCTGTTGGCCACCGCTGTTGGCCCTGACCTTCGCGGGCACGAGACCTCGCCAGAGGAGCGCGGGGCAAAAGCATTCGCTGCGCAGGGCTAGCAATTGCCGCTGGCCTGCACTCCCCCATCAGGCCTCATGGGCCCAACGCTATCCTTCAGGTAGCATTCACCGTTGTTGGTCACAGTCCAGCCCTTGCATTGGCCCCCGGAAGCCTGGCACCTCACCTTGCAGAACTCTGCGTTCTGCACTTGGATCGGGCCCTCGTAGTTGTGCCCATCGTTGTTCTGCTGGTTCAGCTGGTCCCCGCAGCTGGGGTAGCAGTAGCCGCTGCCCTGGACGCCCGCATCGCTCTGCATGTCCCCGACGCTGGTCTTCA